TAGCTTCTGAGCATGTGTGTGCTAGCCCAACATCAAATATTGACATTCAGATGCTGTAGTGTCTCTCAGTCAGCCAAGAAGAGATAAAGTCAAAATTCCAGTAACTGTTGAGTTTGAGGATGTGCAGGTATAAAGGCAGGATTTATTTTCTAAAAGGTTTAAGGGAGAGTGTAAAGGTATTTGTGGTACAAGATATACAACACAAGGTTATAATAAGCTCCACATAAAGTGTGGCACTCCTCTTGATGTAGGGTGCTCTCTCTCTCTGGCTGTCTAGCGCTCTCTCCCTCTTCTTCGGTACACTACTCAAGTTCCCATGCTGGATGCTGACAGTTGCCTGCGGCATTCAAGAAAAAAAAAATGAGGTAGAGATTCGGGGGAAACTGACTTCTGTTTACAGATATTGCCTTCACCTGTGCAGACCCAGGAGAGCCAGCAGTCCCCTGATCAGAATCCAAATGTTCTGGTCCCTCACTATCATTACAGCCCCTCCAGAGATATTGTAATGCGCCGCTGCTCAGCTCATCATGTGGCAAGACTGACCCCTGCTGTTTCCTCAGTGCATGCATTCATATTTCTTACATGGGCGACAGATCATTTAGACTCTACACTTTCTTCTTCAAAATTTCTGTAAAGTAGGCTACTTTCCTCAATTTTTTATTTTTTTTGTCAGCTTAGTTGTTTTCATATGTATTTACAGGCTCTGTAAACTGAGTTCTATAAAAGTAGGCCTACTATAAATTAATAATTATTATGTGGAATAAAAAAACAATTCAATTAAATTCAAATGTATTTGTATAGCGCTTTTCACAATACACATAGTTTCAAAGCAGCTTTACAGAAAATGACTACATTACAATTTAGAGTGATCTGTTATCAGAAGTGAATGTGTCCAAGTAATGTTCATTTCACAAATGAACAGTTTAAGATAATAGATTCACATAGTTAGCTAACATTAATAAATTTTAGGCAGAAGCTCATTAAAGCGATTATTACAAGTGTGATCATAATGATTAATATAGAGACATTTTGGCAGATTCAAGTTGGCGTCATCTGGGGTCCTCGCAGGGATCAGCATCATCTCTTCAATGGTGTTGGGTCATCTGAAGTTTTTCTATGAGGCTGGATCCACGCTGGAGCTGATGTAATCTCTAGGATGGGCATCTTGGGCATCTATTCATAGGAACAGAAAGGCAATGGAAAATAATTCAAGCAAAAAATATGTTTAGCTGATCTAGCTGATCTAACAAGGGTATGAGATTCGTTATGTGAATAATAATAATACAAATAATAAAAAAAATTATAATGACATTTGGAATAAGCTTAAATGAAGTTACTACATTAAATTAATAATAACCAATTAAAAAAAACTTTAATAACGATATGCTAAAATAATAGCTCAAATGAAACGTATTATTATGTGAAATTAATACGAACGTGTAACAAAAATGTACTAAATCCTCAACTTCGTTAAAAATAATTAATTCAACATACAATAAGCTGATTGATGAAAATATATCGTAGCGTGTTCAAAAAGGTTACTGTTGTTAAAGCAATGTGTTAATGTTAATCTTGCACTTTATTCTGTTGTTGTTAAATGTTCTGTGTGGGTTGGGACAAGCCCCGCTTCCTGGGTGTGTGTGTGAGGGGAGAAGCCTACTGGGGAAAGAGGGGCAGAAGAGTTCCCCGCTGGTTCCAGTGAGTCGGGGTGTGTACGGCGTGGCTGTGGAAGAACACCCCTTGTACTGCAAAACGCCTCGTTATTGTCTCGAGAACGCTACAATATTTTCAAAAGGGTATAATAGCTTAAAAAGATTTGTTTTAATGTACATTATTTATTTTAAATTTATTCTCTCTACGACTTATACTGTATCTTGCATAAACTGTCAATCTTCTGCTTTTACTTTACTGACTCTTCCGCCCAAACATGGTATTCACTTCCGTGTTTACGACAGTCTGTGAGTCGGTGTTCATTTACGGCAGGCAGTGTAGGCACATGTGTTTCCAGAGTCAACAGCGTCTTTCAAGATCAGAAGGAAAGAGTATAGTGTGGGAAGAATGGCAACAAAGGTAGGATAAAGAACTAAAAGCAAGACATTTATACTTGACTAAAAAAAAGAGTTGGCACTGTGGAAAATAAGGGAGGAAACAGGAGAGAAGAGACTATTTTGAGTAAGAATAGGGCATAATAAATTAAATAGCACTCTTCATATTATGGGAAAACATCCAACTGGGTTTTGTGACCAGTGCCAAATACCTGAGACTGTAGAACAGGGCTGTCCAAACTCGGTCCTGGAGGGCCGGTGTCCTGCAGAGTTAAGCTCCAACTTGCCTCAGCACTCCTGACTGGAAGTGTCTATGCCTAGTAAGAGCTTGTTTAGCTGGTTTAGGTGTGTTTAATTAGGGTTGGAGCTAAACTCTGCAGGACACCGGCCCTCCAGGACCGAGTTTGGACAGCCCTGCTGTAGAACATGTGCTTATTAATTGTTCAAAATATGAGTTACAGAGGATGGATATGATAAATGACATGGGAAAAATAGGACTAACAGGACGTGGAGTAAAGAATATAATGGACTGCAGTAGGAGTGAACAAGGAATTAAATATTTGATTTGCTTCTGACTAAAACGGGACTCATGACAAGAATGATGACTAAAGTATATGGGAAATAACTAGAACCAGAAGATGGCAGTAATGCAACGTTAAGGATGCAAGCTGCCGTTAAAACCCGAAGAAGAAGAAGAGGAGTCAACAGCGTGCTCATTGATAGTCTAGCCAATCATCTTTAAAGGTAAATTTTACTTTTCGCTTGTCAGTTTTACAGTAACACATGTGTGTGTAGAATACTTTCTGGTAATATTTGTCTGTATTTTTTTTGCACTCATAAGTATTAGACATGCTAAAAGGCTAACCTCGATAGTAACTGTTAACGTTACTCCACTACCGTGACTGTCATTTCTTTCCTGAATGTTTATGCTTATGATTTTATGATAAGTAGTGTTTTAAATACAATCCTAAAATTATTTGCGTTAAACCTGGAGATGCAGTCTTTTCTTTCAGGGTTTGTTTGGGTCACGATGATCAGACTTCGTTTTGATTTCTCGTCGTTTAACATTTACGTTAATCTATTTAGCCAGAGATCGTTTTTATGTGTTTTACAGGATCTCTGTCATGTCATTCCGCGGGGGTGGTGGTCGAGGAGGGGGTCGTGGCGGTGGTTTTAACAGAGGTGGTGGTCGTGGAGGCGGATTTGGAGGGGGTCGAGGTGGCAGAGGTGGATTTCACAGAAATCAAGACTTCGGACCACCGGAGTATGTTGTCGGTAAGGTACCTTTGTTCTCCTCACGCTTCTCTTTCTGTTTACATTAGCTTGCGGTTGCTGCATGTCAGGTTATAATTGGTATTCATACTCCTCGTGTCTCAGCTTTGGGAGAGTTCATGCACCCCTGTGAGGATGATATGGTCTGTAAATGTGTGACGGAGGACAACAAAGTGCCCTACTTCAACGCTCCTGTATTTCTGGAAAACAAAGAGCAAATTGGAAAAGTGGACGAGATCTTTGGGCAGCTTCATGATTTTGTATCCTTACATGTTATTGCGTGGGATCTTGACAGTGCTGTCAGATGTTACATAGGCTTCAAAACTTCATACTGACGTCAGGTGAAGGGTTCTTGTATAATTAACTTTGTAAAAGCCTACTGTTTTCTTTTTTTGACATGAATTTCAAAGGGCTCAAAAATAATAACAAGCTCAAAACTTTTTTTGCTAAAAACCTGTTGTACACAACTTAATAGATGCCCGTTGAATATAGATCATATTTGTATTAATATTTCTTCTAATGTTTTATATAGTTCATATTTTTAGCAAGTTAAAGGCCTATTAGTATAATTCTAAAATGTCTTCTTTCAGGTTTTGCACACCTTTTTGTTGTAAAATCTTTAACAATCTTTATAAACGCAAAATTGTATACATATAACTATCATGATATTAATATTTCAAAATGTATGAAAATGTTTTTGTAAGTTTTTAAATATTTAGTTTAATAATAATAAAAATAAAAAGTAAACATTTTTTTACCATTGATATTTGACCATTATTTCATATGGCAGAGTTAATGAGCTAAATTTAATTTCAGTTAATTTTCATTTCAATTTCTTAACACATTCCTCAGTATTTTTCAGTCAAACTTTCAGAAAATATGAATGCATCCTCCTTCAAGAAGTTACAGAAGGTAAGTTTAGTCTTTTTGGTTTTTTAGATGTGTAGTGATGTTTTGAACCTTATTCCCATGGTAAGGAGGGCAGTCATGGCCTAATGGTTAGAGTACTTGTAACCGTTGGTTGTAACCCGAAGGTTGCGGGTTTGAGTCTCAGGTCCGGCAGGGATTGTAGGTCGGGGGAATGAATAACCAGCGCGCTCTTCCACCTTCAATACCACGACTGAGGTGAGACCCTTGAACAAGGCACCGCACCCCCAACTGCTCCCCGGGAGCCGCAGCATTGACTGCCCTCTGCTCCGGGTGTGTGTTCACGGTGTGTGTATGTTCAATAATGTGTGTGTGCACTTGGATGGGTTAAATGCAGAGCACAAATTCCGAGTATGGGTCACCATACTTGGCCACACGTCATGTTACGTCATTGTTAATTTTTTCAGTAGTAGGTGGGTACTTGAAGCATAACATGTCTGTTACCTTTTTTAATAGTTTTTTTTTTTTTTTTTTTTTTTTTGTAAATTTGTATGAATGTATAATGGAAAGTGAATATTCTTTGTAGTCTCTGTTAATATTATAAAAACTGCATGTATGGTATTGCATGTATATGTATTATACAAGGGTGCACATAAGTGGTACCACCAAAATAAAAATTGTGTTGTGTAAATAAGTTCAGACCGCTCATTTGTGTACCGATATGGTTGACAGCTGTTAATGCACAATTACAATTTTAGATCAACAAACTGTAATACTGTATAATATTTCTATTTGAACAGAGCATAAATCTAGGCTATCCGCTGCCATTTTTAAAGCACAATGCAAAACTGTGTCACTTACGCTCTTCAATCGGCAGTGCTAAACCTGGCAGCGGCTGATTTTAAGTTTGAAAATGATGAAAATTCATATTAAAAAATGTAAAACTTTATTTTAAAGTTTGCTATAAAATAATTGTATTGTTATTTAATACTCCCTTTTTATTTTTAAATATAATAGTATTATCACACTTTATTATTTTATTTAAAAAAATAAAGTGCAATAATATTAATAATATTATTATCACTATTATTTTTTTTTTATAGTTATATTATAGTTTTATTCAATGGGTCACACTATGTGCAGTGTGAGGACCAAACCAAATCTCCAGGTGCTCTTTTGAGAACCAGGCTGAAAAACATGTATGTTATAAACATGTTGGAATGCAGCATGTCACACCAAAGACTTTTCAAAAGTAAATCTTATTTTGTGCGATCATGTTTTTTAAAGAACACCCCACCACTTATCAGTGTTATTTTCAATATTAGACAATGATCAGTGGGTGTTCTTTTAAAATTATCTGTAATTTGCAAGCAGATACTGCTTCAGAATATCAAAGGGATTCTTAGAAGCAAGTTTAGCTGCTTCCTTTGGCTTTTCTGCCTCTTATCAGTTCCCTAGGATGTGACTTACAGTATTATGCCGATATATTTAATTAGCTTTTCTCTTTCTCTCCTCTTGCATCAGTTCTTCATTGACCCTATGAAGCTGATGCCCCTCCAGAGATTCCTCCCGAGGCCTCCAGGTGAGAAGGGGCCACCCCGTGGCGGTAGATGAGGAGGAAGAGGTGGGAGAGGAGGTAAGAACACACAAGAAAACAGTATACATATGATGATAGATTCAGTTTTATTATCATCTCTGATAATATAACTGTAACATTGTGGTTTACCTTTGAAGATATAAACCACAAAGTGAATTATGTATTTGCAGGTGGCTTCCGTGGAGGTCGTGGTGGCAATGGTGGTGGACGTGGAGGATTTGGTGGGCGTGGAGGTGGTGGAGGATTCAGAGGAGGCAGAGGTGGAGGCGGTGGACGTGGATTCAGAGGTAATTTGCTATGTTGATCATCAGAAAATAATGATGAAAGTACTAAATTCAATTTAATGGAAGAATTTATCCAAAAATGTAAATTCCATCATGTACTAACATTCATGCCTTTACAAATCCACAAACAAAATTATATATATTGAATATACGTTAAATGTTAAAAAGTTGGGGTCTGTAAGATTTTTTAAAAACGTTTTTGAAAGACGTCTCTTATGATCACCAAGGCTGCATTTACATTGAATCATCTACATTGAACAGCAGTGTATTATATGTGAATATTATATCTGATCTCTAGGGCTGGGCGATAATTCGATAACGATAATTATCGCGATGTAATTTTCCTCGATAAAACGATATGAAGAGTTCGATAAATGTTCGATATAATGTTTATGCGCCAAAAGCGGAACGAAACAGCGCGACTAATTTGAAGCGCGCCACACAGATCGTTTATCCGCTCGGATCAAAGTTCAAACTGCCGATGCGTTTACTTGGTCACGCGAGCACTAAACAGCGCTGTGAGATCCACTGCTTGAATTCAGCGATGAACACAAATTACTTTAAAGTTGATTTAATTATTCACAAAAGAAAAAAAAAAATCCTCAAGTGCACCCAAGCCCCTATTAGCGTGTTCTTCAGAGGAGTATAACAGGTCATTTTTAACAAATTGTTCTTTTGAACTGGATCCATTAACAAATACTTTACCCTACTTTGACCCACGTAAGACTTCAAAAGTCTCTTGGTCCATTCATCCAGTGATGGCACCTGCTAACGCCCTGCAGACCAGTCTGACCTGGAAAGGATATGCACTCGTCTATCACTTATTAAAGAGAATGGGAAACCTAATAATACACATTTTCTTCTCTGATTTTGTTGAAAGGATTGTGTTGATGTACAGTAGGGGCAGGGAGAGCATGGCAAACCTCTCAGCTCCGCTGTGAGATCCAGTGTGAAGCGCTTGAATTCAGCGATGAACACAAATTACTTTAAAGTTGATTTAAACTAGTTTAAAGCCAAAGAGGAGAAACACCGTGTGCAACGAGACAGTCAGAAGGCTTTTCAATCTACACATCGCCATCATTTACCATGGATTTACTGTAGTAACACTCACTGCACCAAGGTATTGTGGCAGAAACTTGGGATATTCACACTGAATTTTTATACAGGAGTTATGGTAATTATAGTATAGTATAGATTAAGCTATAGCATGTGTGCATTTATACTGAATGCTTTTAGACTACTGTTTTTCATACAAATAGGCTACCTAAAAAAAACATATAGTTATAGTTTTACCAGGGTTTTAACTGTTTATCATGATTTAAATGTATGCTACTATGGGAGACCAATGCTT